GGGGGGAGTTGCAGGGGTGCGCGCGGGAGGGGGTGGCCGGCCGCAGGAGGCACACGGGCGGTGGGGAGGGGCTGCACTCACCCGAAGTTCTCCAGTGTCCTCCACCGGCTCCATGGTGTGCGGCCCTGGCTTTTGAAGTGCCCGGGGCCGCCGGAGCATGCGCAGCAGCGCCCAGGCACGCCAGGCTGTGCAGCTTCTGACGCCGCGGCCACCGGCGTCTTCTTGCAGGGGTGAGGGGACAGGCAATATTCAGAGCCGGGGGAGAGACCCCACTCCAAATATTGGTGGAGCAGGGCCCCGGCTCTAAATATTGCTGGAGCCTGGGCAGGGCTGGATTACCCAATATGCAGACTAAGCAGTGCTTAGGGCACCAGTAAAGCAGGGGCACCAAAAAAAACCAAAAGGGATTTTACGGTATAGTGTTGTTTTTATTTTGAATTACATGTGGGGGGGGGGCACCATAATCTTTTCAGTGCTTAGGGCCTCTAATGGTCTTAATTCTGCCCTGAGCCTGGGCACCACGAGCCCTTATAACTCACCACCCATGTCCCTAGGTCCTTTTCTACTTAACTGCTATTTAGTCACTCCATCCCGAGCCTGTAGCAGAGCTTGAGATTCTTCCATCCTAAGTGCATGACTCTGCATTTCTCCTTGTTGAACCTCATCATATTTCCTTTGTCCTAATCCTCCAATTTGTCTAGGGAGTGCTCTGGACCCTGCTTTCCAGGATATCTATCTCCCCATCCTCATCTTAATGTTATCCACACATTTGCTGATGGTGTAATCCATTCGTCATCCAAATCATTAATGCAGATGTTGAACAAAACCAGCCTCATGTCTGATCTCTGGGGCACTCCACTTGATACCAGCTGCTAACTAGACTTTGAACTGTTGATCACCAGCCATTGAGCCCAACAGTCTAGCCAGCTTTTTTACACTTTACAGTCCATTCATCCAATCCATTAACTAGACTTTGAACTGTTGATCACCAGCCATTGAGCCCAACAGTCTAGCCAGCTTTTTTACACTTTACAGTCCATTCATCCAATCCATACGTCTATAACTTACAGTCAAGACTACTGTGGGAGTCCGTATCAAAAGCTTTACTGAAGTCAAGGTATATCACATCCACTGCTTTCCCCATATCCACAGAGACAGTTATCTTATCATAAGGCAGTTAGGTAGTAGGGATGTTGGGATGTTCTGCACTGATTAGGCCTCAATTGGAGTATTGTGTCTTCTTCTGGGTGCCACATTTCAAGACAGATGTGGAGAAATTGGAGGTCAGAGAAGAGCAACAAAAATGATTAAAGGACTAGAGAAACATGACCTATGAGCAAAGACTGAAAGGACTGGGCTTGTTTAGTTTATAAAAGAGAAGACTGAGAGGGGACATGATAGCAGTTTTCAAGGATCTAAAAGAGTGTTACAAGGAGGAGGGAGAAAAATTGTTCTCCTTGGCCTCTGAGGATAGGACAAGAAGCAATGGGCTTAAATTGCAGCAAGGGATGTTTAGTTTGGACATTAGGAAAAACTTCGTACTTGTGAGGGTGGTTAAACACTGGAATAAATTGCCTGGGGCGAGGGGGTGGGTGGAATCTCCATCACTAGAGATATTTAAAAGCAGGTTAGATAGACATCAGTCATGGGTGATCTAGATGCACCTGATACAGAGGCAGCAAGGGGGGCATGTAGTCATATGGATTAATCAATAAGCCTAGGCTTATCAGTTAATCGTTTAAACGTCTACACACTAACATGCCTATTAGGTACAGACCATACCCTACCACACTATTTGAAAATAGATTGTTAGTAGGCTAAAGATGACTGACAGATTATCTGCCGTGTACAAACAGAGGAGGAAGGAACAGTTCTTGTGTCAAGGAGTTTAAATTATGATAGAGCAGTTTGAGCCCATAATACACTGGATTACCAGGGAAAGGTTAACTAGAATGGTACCAGTTTTTCTCTGCTGTCATACTTATACAATATGTGTTCACAGTGACTTCATACCACATGAATCTATTATTTTCTACAAAACTCAGCTACAGACATGGAGTGCAGCTGCCATTGAACAGTTTGTACGTATGCCACAATGTGACTGTACTCATTCTTCAAAAGGTGGTCAACACTTTTATTAAAACATAAAAACCCAATTCTTCTGTCATTTATACCAGTATAATGTAATTCTGAGTGACTTCACTGACATCACTGATTTACTTGTGTATAACTGATAGCAGAGTTTGCCCCAAAGTACTGATGTTTTTATAATTCATTTCTTTTTTTCTGTTTCCATTTTTCTCATTTGTGCCTCTTTTGGCAAGAAGTAGCTCTTTGAGCATCTCCACCAATTGCATTTGAGGTGGGAGGAGAGGGGATTTTGCCACTTGCAGATTTAGTATGTCTCTACACTCATAGGAATGAAGAGAATAATTCAGCTAAGCTTTTGTTCCTGTTCCACATGAATTATGTAAGCGAAACTGTCAAGGGCCATAAAAGAGTTCTCAAATGCAAACAAATTTAGAAGAATTTACATCTACCCTTATTCTGACTGTGTCATGCCAAGGGCCATTTTTAATTTGTCACTCAACTTGAAAGGAAAAAGACAGAAGAAAATAAAAATCTGCTTTAGTGTAGATGACAATATCACCGTAATAATGTAATTCATTCTAGAATAGCATGATTGACTCTAGATTATTAATTTGCATGAGGACAGCAGGAACATAATTCATGTTGTCCCTGTAAAGAAAATGATGATTTGCACTTGTGAATACTCAGAGAAGTAATTTATTCTTAAATAGCCTAAAATTATATATTTAATTTATATCTGCCCTAAAAAACAGGAATAAATACATACACCCTTAGGCTGCGTCTAGACTGGCATGATTTTGTGGAAATGCTTTTAACAGAAAAGTTTTTCCATTAAAAGTATTTCCGCAAAAGAGCATCTAGATTGGCACAGGTGCCTTTGCGCAAAAAGTGCTTTTGCGCAAAAGCATCCGTGGCCAGTCTAGACGCGATTTCATGCAAGAAAGCTCCGATCGCCATTTTCACCATCGGGGCTTTTTTGTGCAAAACAGAGGCCTTTTTCCCGAGCTGGAGCATCAGTGTATTTACGCAAGAACACTGACAATCTTATATTAGATTGTCAGTGTTCTTGCACAAATTCAAGTGGACAGTGTAGACAGTGTAGACAGCTTTTGCACAAAATCTTGCCAGTCTAGACGCACCCTTAGAGTAAAAGTAATTTATGAAAACACTTACAGTTGTTTTACACTGTAAATGAAAATCAGGACCACCAAAGAGATGAATTCTCAGCTCTTA